ATCGTGGCCCATGGGTTAAACTACGTACACTTGTGGCCCACTTTTCAAATTCAGATTTAATCCTCGTAATAATAATGTTTTTATCTTTTTTTTGTATTTTCTATCTGATCTCGGTGTGCCGATTCCATATGTATGATTAAATTCCATTAAAAACACTTAATTTTATGATAAATAACATGGTAAATTTAACCGACAATAATGGCCCCAATTTGTGGCCCGTATACATATCCACGTTTCCTTGTCACACGTCATTGGGGCCCATTATCGTTATTCCCCGCCTCATCTCATTGTGGCCCTTTTCATATTTTTAGGTTAGGTTATATATTAGAAAACACCCGCAGCTTGTCAACAACAACAACATCATTTGCTGCTCTGATTGGCTCCTGATTCCAGAAGATGACTTGAGTTCAAAATGCCGCGTTTTTTGAAAACCCCTCAAAATCCAAGATGGAGGCTCTTTGGGAACTTTGCTATCTCGATCCCTAATTGATTTAACGACTTGAAACGTGGAATGTGAGGGTATTTTCACCCTTAAAACAAAGCTGAAGTCAGATTTTGAAAATTCTCAAAATCCAAGATGGCGGCTTTTAGGGAAATTTGCTATCTCAGTCCCAAATTCATCCTAGGGCTTTGAATTTAGTATCCGAGGGACATTTGGCCCAAAAAACTCAAATCTAAGGTCATACATTGAAAATTCTCAAAATCAAAGATGGGGTCTCTTATGGAAATTTGCCATCTCGGTCCCAAATTCATCCTAGGACTTAGAATTTTGTATCTAGGGAAAATTTAGCCCAAAAAACCAAATCTAAGATCATATTTTTAAAATTTTCATAATGAAAGACGGCGCTTCTTCTGGAAATTTGCTATCTCGGTCCCAAATTCATCATAGGACTTTAAAATTAGTATCTAGAGGAAATTCTGCTAATAAAACTCAAATCTGAGGTCAAATTTAAAGTAGGAAGTTACGAGAATAATACAATTTGAATTATTAAGCAGGTATCCTCCCTTTTTTTTTGTAAGTAAATTTAGTGGCAAGATGTATGAAAAAATTAGAGATTTTAGGAAAAAAATCATTAAAAAATGTATAATTCTTTTTTTCTTGGGGAAATAGTTACTACAAATTGCAGAGGGTAAAATTCTGCACATTTAAAAAAATTATATGAAAAACATTTAGAAGCCAGAAAAACTTTCTTTAATATTTTACCAGAATTCTAGCAATTGGTGCATAACCAGCTGCTGAAAATGACCTATGCCTGAGAAAATTCTTAAGATTCTGCCTATCATAGGAAAAAAGTTTCATAGATAAAGGGGATACCCTCTAAACATACCCCAAAGTACGCGAGTTAAGGGGGTATCCCACCCTAAAAATGGAGAATTTTTTTTTTATGATTTTTCACTTTTTGGCTATTCTATTTGTAGATAAATCTCCAGATTCCTATGATGTATTTGGATTTTTCCTAAGAGCCTTCGAACATCTCCAATTTTATGTGTAAATGATGCTTGTCATGAAAAATCAGCAGGAAAAATGGCAGGCTTTTCCGCAAAAATGAGACTTCGGTATTATTTGTTATATTTCAGAGCGATGTGGCAATATTGCACTCAGTTGGCAGGGCTGCACGTAGTTCTACTGTGATTTCTTACTACTGATTCTACTGACAATTCTGAGACAGAGAGACTCAAAACTGTAGGTTAAAAACAATCAATAAACCAAAGTATTCACCATGAACTGCATAAATTGCATTCTTCTTTTCAAATTCATTTTTATCGCGCGTCAATTTTTACTCGTTTTTCGAACTTAGGAACAACTTTTCTCAGCTTTTACTGAAGCTTTTCACCTCCAGTTTTTTTTAAAATACTCCAAATTAATAGGAGAAGGTTCCCAAGGAAGCACAATGATTTTATACTTGTAGATGGTTTTTAAAAATTGTTTAAGACGTTGCACTCCTCTAAAAAAATGTAATTTTTAAATAATAAAAAAAAAAAAAAATTTGGAAGTCAAGTCTGAGCAGAATCCATCCTTGGGAACCTTCTATGGTATATTTGAAGTAGTTTGGTCGAAACAAACCATCAAAAGCTTGATTAGAACTTGAAAAAAATTGATCCCAAATATTGACAGTTTTTTCGGTACTTAGAGTCCTGTGGGTGCGGGTTGCATAACCAGCGCCTGAAAATTTGGGGTTTCCCCCCCCCTGAGGTGTACCTATGACCATAAAAAATCTTGGAACTTATTATGCAACAATAAACGGCTTTATTCTAGAGTGGGATACCCCCTTAATGGATAATAATATTTAAAGTGAGACAGTGGTCTTATATGAAATGAAAAATGAATGATGGTTGCCGAAAATGCTGCGGATTATTTTCTAAAATTGAGGCAGTGGATGCGAAAAGGGCACTTCTCGATTGTGGTGTTTCAGAATCCCTGTTGCCAATTAATCCCTTGGAGAAGACTTTAATGGGTGATTTTTCCAGAATTCTTTCCATAGAAAATTGTAGAATCATAAGTAATATTCAGTGGAATTTTTAGTGAAATGGATGCATTCACTTTCCTTACAATGAATGAAATATTAGAGGAGACTCTGGAACACTGCAACCGAGAAGTGCCCTTTTCGCATCCACTGCCTCAATTGTCCTTTCCTCTGCTGGGCTCTGAAAAATCAAAGGGCTTGAACTTATTTGCAGACTAGAAAAATAATGAAAGAAACGGATTTCAGTATGAAGAAGACAAATGGCTAGAAACGTAATCATTTTTAATGGCCAGAAAGAAAACTTAACATTTTTAAAGAAATGTTCTTGTAACTCAGTTTGCAGGTAACACACATAGTTAAAGTAACCTAAAATTGAAGTTTCTGAGGTAACTCTTTAGTAAATTTTTGGCCACGCTTATCTTTCTAAAACTAAAGAAACATTTTTACATAGTAAATAAAAAAGTGAATAACTATTTTGAATAGAGAAAAAAAGAATAGTGTGATGGCCACTTATATATTCTTATAAAACTAGAGATAACTTTGAAAATAGAAGGTGGTAAAAAAATAAATAGTAATAGTAAAGAGGAAAAAAATAAAGGCACAAGAACTTGCGAAAAACAGCACCTCATCTACTGGCTAGTTATCACCAGAAGCTCTGAAAAAACAACTAAGAATGAAGGTAAAAATTCTCATTGATTTTATTAGTTTTTCATTGCTTTCAGAGCCCTCATGGCCTCTGCCTGAATGAAAGAGACTGTAGCATTTACAGATCGTGTTTGGAGGATGGTGTTTTTGTTCCAAAGCTTGACCACCTCACCTCTTGGGGGACTCTGGCCATTAATTATAAGCTCTTCAAAGGCTTGAAGAATAATTTCTCTTTCCCTGTCCGTCCACGTAGACCTCCCCCTTGTACCCTTCACCTTGGCAGATTTGACTGAAGGGGCGCTAATTGGTTTTTTAACTCTTTTGCTTGGCAGTTCACTTAAATTCTCAGTGGGTCGCATTATTTTTGTTGGCTGGAATACCTCAATTTCTTCTTCCGAGTCTTCTATGTAGACTCTGCGTTTTCGTGGAGGTGCAATTAACATTTCAGTAGAGCTTTCATCATGCTGCAATGGAGAGGCACCACAGGCGTCATCCTCATTGCTGGTTAAATCTCCATCAGACTCTCCGTTCTCTAGGGCTGAAGTTTTCGAGGTACTTTCTTTTAAATTGGTGTTTTGATTTAAATCCAAATTTTCAGATCTCCTCCTGCGAAAATGCAAGAGCCGTCTGCCCACCTGTGTTCTATGCACAAGGGCATCCGGCCTTCTGTAGTGTTCTTCATGCACATTCATCGTGTGTCCCATGAAGGAGACAAGATTTTTCACGTAAGTCATATCAGTTCGATGAAGTTGAGAATCGGTTGCAATGTGACGACGTAAAGATCGACAATTTACATTGTCTGGCTTGATTAATCCCTTCGTTGCTCGAACAAAATGAGACATCTCTATGGAGCCATCATACACCTTCCCGTCCTCACCGGGAACAGGAAAAAGGAGGTCATCATCCTCCGACTGGATTCCAAAATGAGACCGAAGTTCATTAAGGGTTCGAAACCCTTCTTCCATCAATTTTGTAACTAGAATTGGCACACGGGTGTTTCCTTTACCAGGGACGTAAAATACTTTTAACTCTGATCCTGTTCTTCTCTCCTCATTTGAAAGATAATCAGCTTGAGTTTCATTATTTTTATCACCCGTAAGCCTTGAAAATTGCATCATTGTGGCTCTGCACACCTCTTGAGGACGTCTTCTATTGAGAAGAATTATGTCCACTATCATTAATTTACATAAAGCTTTAAAATTTTCATTGGTCGGGGTCACTCTCAAATTGTCAATGAGTG